GATGTGGATGTGGATGTGGATGTGGATGTGGATGTGGGTATGGGTGTAAGTGTAGGTGCAAGTGTAATTGTGAGTGGCGTGAGTGTGAGAGTGGGTGGTGTGGGTATGGTGTGGGTATGGGTGTGTGGGTGTGGGTGTGGGTATGGTGTGGGTGGTGTGGGTATGGGTGTGGTGTGGGTATGGGTGTGGGTGGGTTGGGTGTGGGGGTGTGGGTGTGGGTATGGGTGTGGTGTGGTGTGGTTATGGGTGTGTGGGTGTGGGTGTGGGTGTGGGTGTGTGTGGTGTGGGTGTGGGTGTGGGTGGTGTGTGTGGGTGTAGGTGTGGTGTAGGTGTAGGTGTAGGTGGTGTAGGTGTAGGTGTAGGTGTAGGTGTGGGTGTGGGTGTGGGTCTGGGTGGTGGGTGTAGGTGTAGGTGTAGGTGTGGTGTAGGTGTAGGTGTAGGTGTAGGGTGTGTAGGTGTAGGTGTAGGTGTGGTGTAGGTGTAGGTGTGGGTGTGGGTGTGGTGTGGGGCGTGGGCGTGGAATATAAGGCGTAAATGTGAGTCTGGGATGTGGGACTGGGACTGTGAGTGAGAGGGGCTCCCTGTCTAACATAGCCTACACCTTTCATGAAGAAAACAAGAAACCCTTGATTATCAAATTTTCAAAGACAAAAAATCCAAGAAATAAACAGACAGTCTCCCTACTTCATACCAAAAGAAATCTCAAGATATCTATTACACATAAACACATCTCATTTCTCACCTGTGGCAGTTGTCCGTTCCTTGGGAGGAAACCAGGAGGCGGCTATCATAGGAGGGGCTGCCATTATAAGAGTTCCTGGGATACCCACAAAAATGGCACAGATGTGACACATTCTGCAGAACAGTTGTTATAGTTATAATCATTGTAATGTATGTAATACGGATAACTATACCTGGTGATAGATATGGTATGTTACTTCAGCATTCTGATTAATAAAGCCTTTAAACAGTTCATAAATGAAAGAAGACTAGTTATAACTTAAAAAGAGTTCATAATCTCATATCTTAGGTCAAGAATTTCAATTAAAACCTATCAAGTATTCATATAAAAAATTACAAAACAGCATAAACCACTATGTGTATTACAGCAAGTTCCAAACAGCAAATGATTTTTAATCATGTTTATATATCTTTTATTCAATAACTACTACAAATCTTCAATCTAAGTAAAAATAATACCAATAATTCCCTAATCACTGATCTTTGCTGAACCTATATCAAAACCATATTATAACAAGAGAACAAACACCAATACTCCCACAGCCATATATACTTACACCGTGAAGAAGGAGTCCGAGTGAGTTAAAAAGGGAATTATCCTAACCACTGTCCCAATGGCTACCAGGATCGTACACGTCAAGACTCCTGCTCGAAGCCCCTTGGTTTCCATCAGCCAGCACATGGGCACGACACTCAGGACGAAGGTAATGGTACCCCAGTTGGCCATCATAGCCACTGTCTGAGACCCCCATCCTGTGAAGGCAGCGTCGACGCTCTCGCTGATGGGACCCCAAGTGTTCCATTGGACGCACTGGAAAAGGGGTGGTAGTGGGTTAAAAAACGTGTTTGGATAAAAGAAAGAGCAGAGGGATATTGTTGGAAAAGGGGTGGTAGTGGGTTAAAAAAAAAAAAGTGTTTGGATAAAAGAAAGAGAGAGGAATATTGTTGGAAAAGGGGTGGTAGTGGTTAAAAAACGTGTTTGGATTTTGTTGGAAAAGGGGTGGTAGTGGGTTAAAAATCGTGTTTGGATAAAGAAAGAGCAGAGGGATATTGTTGGAAAGGGATGGTAGTGGGTTAAAAAATCGTGTTTGGATGAAAGAAAGAGCAGAGGGATATTGATGGAAAGGGGTGGTAGTGGGTTAAAAAAAAAAAAAATGTTTGGATAAAAGAAAGAGCAGAGGGATATTGATGGAAAAGGGGTGGTAGTGGGTAAAAAAAAAAAAAAAAAAAAAAAAGTGTTTGGATAAAAGAAAGAGCGGAGGGATATTGTTGGAAAAGGGGTGGTAGTGGTTTAAAAAAAGAAAAAAAACATGTTTGATAAAAGAAAGAGCAGAGGGATATTGATGGAAAAGGGGTGTAGTGGGTTAAAAAAAGAAAAAAAAAGTGTTTGGATAAAAGAAAGAGCGGAGGATATTGATGGAAAAGGGGTGGTAGTGGGTTAAAAAAAAGAAAAAAAAAAGTGTTTGGATAAAAGAAAGAGCGAGGATATTGATGGAAAAGGGTGGTAGTGGTTAAAAAAAAAAAAAAAAAAAAGTGTTTGGATAAGAAAGAGCAGAGGGATATTGATGGAAAAGGGTGGTAGTGGGGTAAAAAAAAAAAAAATGTTTGGATAAAAGAAAGAGCAGAGGGATATTGCTGGAAAAGGGGTGGTAGTGGGTTAAAAAAAAAAAAAAAAGTGTTTGGATAAAAGAAAGAGCAGAGGGATATTGATGGAAAAGGGGTGGTAGTGGGTTAAAAAAAAAAAAAAAAAAATGTTTGGATAAAAGAAAGAGCAGATGGATATTGTTGGAAAAGGGGTGGTAGTGGGTTAAAAAAAAAAAAAAAAAAAAAAAATTGGATAAAAGAAAGAGTGGAGGGATATTGCTGGAAAGGGGTGGTAGTGGTTATAAAAATAAAACGCGTTTGGATAAAAGAAAGAGGAAATGGATATTGCTGGAAAAGGGTGGTAGTGGGTTAAAAAAAATAAAAATATTAAACGTGTTTGGATAAAAGAAAGAGCAGAGGGATATTGAGTCTTCGTCAGCGCTTTGGTGCCTTTTCAAAAATTACCGTATGTGATTACTCAAAGCAATGAAGAAATAGTAAAAAGAAAGGGTTAGAAATATTGAATCCTCGTAATCATTTTGCCGTATCTTAAGAGGTTATCTAATGTAAATACTCAAAAAAAGAAGGAAATAAATATGAATAATTATAAAACAAGTAATGTGTCACCCCACCCACCTGGAACCAAGCCAAGATGGAGAACGTAATCAAGATCCAGAACCTCGACTTGTAAACCTTCAGAGCCACCTCGCTGCCATCACTGGTCCTACTGCCCTTCCTGTGGCCATGCCTCTGAGGGGGAATCACGCCGTCAGCCTCGTCTCGGGAACCACTAGCGCCAGAAGCAGGAAATACAGCGACTTCAGGAGGGTTCTGGTAGCTGGTGGGGACGGTTGGATGGAAGCTCGAAGAACCTTGCTGGTGGCTGTCGAGAAGAGGTGCTCGTTCTGGAAAAAGAGAGAATTTTTTGGTATATGTTTGTTTTTGGAATATCATTTTTCCTAAATAATTGTTTTGAATATGTTTGATTTTGGATTTTTTTTTTTTTTTTTTTTTTTTTTTTTTTTTTTTTTTTTTTTTTTTTTTTTTTAGGATAATAGCAGAATCTGCTATTGTCGGTGCACTCTGGTCTATGTTTTTGCTTGTTATGTATCAAAAGCCTTTATTTCTTCAATAAGTAATTCGATTTTCCAACAATAAAAAAATGGTAAAACATGTAACCTATATTGGGTTATATCTGATAGCATAAGTATACATGACTCATATCTTATAAGATCACCGCTCTAACAGTCATCATGACAAGTGATTGCTCATAAAAAAGTTTTGTGATACATTAAGTACTTATTGCTATTCGAAATACAATATCTTTTAAGTTGACAAAACATACTACTACAAATTTAACGATAAAATATTATTCTCATATTAGGACAGAAACCCGATTTCACAGTGATGTAAACAACAAAAAGCTGTAAGCATCCGGTTCATGATATATTAACCATTAACAAAATGAAAACTTAAATTATACATTTACAAAGACAAGTTATTACCAACATAAGACATTACCACATACTTATATATAAAGCTTCAACTACCATTGATGAGCATACGTCCAGCAGAACAGCTGCTAGACGCAAAAGTAATGTAGATACACCACAGTGAATATTAGATTTTAAAAAAAAATGGATCTCCCATTGGGTATTCAGGAGTAGGTGGTTTATTTTATACAGTGGCGTGTAGAGGTCTGGTGATGCCCCAAAGACTCAATAATGAGGCCTAGTCCTGAGAGATATTATAAGGGAGATATTCTGAATATGTTTACACAGATGGAACATGAAATAAACACTTTATTCGATTTAAATGAAATTTTCAAAATCAATCGTATTTCCCACTTGGATGCCCGGGGCCACAGTCCTTTCACCCCCTCCCCCTCTGCACGCCACTGATTTTATAGTTCTTGTGTATAAAATATTTTTACCCTGAAAAAAAACGTTCTGTAAGCGCCTTCTGCTTGTAGTTTAGTCTTGTTATAGTCGTACATAGGGGCGTGAATTCAGTTTTTTTCTTGAGGGAGAAATGGCGGGTAGGCGACCGAAGCAAACAAAACACACACACACACACACACACACACACACACACACAACACACACACAACACACACACAACACACACACACACACACACACACACATACACACACACACACACACACACACACACACACAAACAAACACACACACACACACACACACACCACACACACACACAAACAAACAAACACACACACACACACACACACACACACACACACACACACAAACAAACAAACAAACAACAACACACACACACACACACACACACACACACACACACACACACACACACACACACGCTCACACACACAACACACACACGCGCTCACACACACAGGCGCGCCACACACACACACACACACACACACACACACACACACACACACACACACACACACACACACACACACACACACACACACACACACACACACATCAAGCAGTCACATTTATTATATAATGACAATTACAGAGAAAATCAAGCAATGTTATGGTCTAATCTGCTGGTAATGACTGTGTTCATTGTGCACAGTTCATACAAAAAGAAAATTCTTGAGGTGAAATTATAGGAAGGATGAGTTAGTGGTGAAGAGAGGATGAATGTAAAGGTCCACTTAGATTCAACGT